GACCATCTTGCAATGAAGATCTGTGCTAGAGCAAAGACCTAAATGTAGGTGTTTAGTCCCTGCTTAATACCTGAACCACTGGACTCTTTGGTTTTCTCTCCTAATTAAATATTTAGCCTGGTGCAACCAGGAGTTTCCTTACAGCCTGGCAGCCTTGCCCTTGGAGTCCTCTTGCACAGCACAGACAGCTCAGACTTGGGGACCACATGATAATTACTTTCCCAATCAGCCTGAACATCCTCATCCTTGTCCAGCACAGAAAGCTTATCCCACCTGTAACCTAAGGGAAAGGAGAAAAGGACTTTACCTGAGCTGACCCTGTCGATCCAGAAAATCCTGCTTGGGTAAAACCACACCTGGGCTGGAGTGGACCACAACTGGCAGGCGATATTCCAGGTAAGCCGTCTTCAGCCACCAGTCTGAGAGCTGGGATGGAGAAACACAACGTGCAGGGATGAGCTGCTGTTTGACCTGAGCCTGGCTCACAGGTCTCAGCACCCGGCCCCACACTTTACAAACAAACTGTTTGGGGTTTCTGCTTTGCAGGTGGGAAGGGGAGAGGGCAATTTGAGCAAGGCAGGGAAGGTTCTTAAGGCAGGGCTCTAGTAGAGGGTTTCCTTCAGCTTCTTGGGGCACCTGCATGATGCTGACAGAGCCTTCAGCAGCCACAGGCAGGGCCAGCAACTCCCTGTCCTGCCATAAACCTCTCTGCTCACCCAAGTCGTGCTGAGGAGCTCAGGGAGGTCAGCAACAACCTGGTCACGAAGGTGATGCCATTAAAACACAGGTGCCAGTGGACCCAGCTAAGACATGGGAGAGGTGCCCATCAGCCCTCCACCCTCCCTCCCCAGAGCTGGGGACAGTCCCGACCTACCCAGTTCTCTGTTTTCTTGGCTCTTTTCTCCAGGCCCTTCTGCAGCCTCTCCCCGACGCCTCCCGGCTTGCGGAACTCGGCCACCAGCTCCTGCGTGTGGTTCAGCTCCTCCTGGCTCACGATGGGCTGCAGGGTCAGCAGGTACCTGTCCAGGGTCTGCTGGAGTGGTGGCACGGGCAGGGGGGGCAGTGCTTCCTGGTGGAGCTGGAATCTGCCCAGGATCTTGCCTAGAGACGCTGTCGGCTTCAGCAGGCCACAGGGCCTGGCCTGCAAAGCACAGAGCAAGTGTCGAGACAAAACTTCCCCCTGGTGGGCACGAGCCAGCAAATAACCTGGATCTGGGAATCTCCATCCCAGCCTCTCCACAGGCACACAGGTGTCCCAGCCTGGGAGCAGAGCACGGCTGTTTGCTGGAGAGGGTGCAGGGCACCCAGGAGAGCTGCAAAAGAGGAACTCCATCTCCCAAGACTCTGATTCTCAGCTCCTCTGAGAAAATGCTGCTGGGTTAATCTCCCACACTGGGCACCTTCCAGCTGAGAGTCTCCATGTGTTTGACAAAGTCAAACCCTTCCATCCCATGGTAAGTGGGAAGAAAGTTGTGAAAGAAATAATCATCTTATGAACTGTCAGAAACTTTCAGAGTTTCTTACAACAGCAGAAGGCTAAAAAGTTAAACAGAACCCTCGTGCCAAACCAAACTATTCTTTTGGCTCTGAGGAGGCAGAATTTAGCTAAGTTCAGGGCAGGATTAAAATGCTTTTTCTCTGACTGTACAGGAAATTGTGGGTGATGCCAACAGGCTCCTGGGGTCGTGTGGGAGCAAAAGCCTCAGAAAGCACCAACCATTTCCCTGGGCAGAGAAATGAAACAGAGCAAACCCAAGTGCTATCTGGGAAATGAACCTGCCAGTTTTCCCCCAGAGGAATAACAACATCCTCTTGGGTGAACAGGATGAACATCCTTCAGCTTGAAGATGTTTAAATTGTACTCTAAAGGTTTCCAGTTCCCTCTGCATCTCCCTCTCCATTGGATCTACTGAATCAGACACTCCTGCAGGACTCTGGACTTTGCATTGTCAGTGTACTGAGGATGCAAAGCCAGAGAGAACAATCCCTTTCGTTTTCAAAACCATGAAAATAGCTGTCCCCACACCTCCTCCCAGCAGTTAAGCACAGAGAAGAAGAAAGAAAGATCTAAATCTGCAAGGTGACAAAGTCCCCAGGGAAGATGCCCTGTGCTCTTTGTGGGACCTGGCAAAGGCTGTGAGACCAAGGTTTGGAGAAGGAAGGAGAAAAACAGGAAAAGGAGGAATTACTGAGGCAGGAAAGAAGAGCAGGGCTGGGAAGGAGAGAAGGGTGTTAATCATGGAAGTGTGGGCATACTGTACCTTCTCTACTTGCTCCTGCTTCCTATCCATGGCTGGGAGGACAGAAAAGACCGTAAACCTCTCCCTCGGCCTGTCTGGGTCTCCTCTTCCACCTGACAATGTGCTGCCCGTGCAGGGCGTCACCTTATTAGCCAAGTGCCACATGACTGCTCCGATCAGAGGGCTCAGGGGCTGGCACAGCCCCGGGAAGGGACGGGAATAATCAAACCAAGGTTGCGACAACTGCCCTGGAGGTGCCTCTCTGGGCAGCCCTGGCAGACACTGCCTGGCAGTGCTGATCAATAACTGTGGGCAGTCTCTCTGATCAACAGCTCTGGGCTCCAGCCACGGCAGAAGTGACGGCACTGGGAATGTTGTTCCCTCAGCCTCTGCATGGATGGTGAAACTACTGCAGCTGTTGTGAGAGGTGCCTGGACACGAGGAGAGCCCCTGGTTTATGTCCTGGAAGCAGGTGGCACCGAGGGCTGGCACTGGAAGGGACAAGCTGCAGGGAGCCCTTCTGTGGGGGGTGGGCAATTCAGTCCCTTTAGTCAGGCAAAGGTGGCCAGAGGGTGTCAGGTGAGGGCAGTGACCCAGCCTCACGGGTGGTAGTGTAGGATTAGTTGGAGATGGGGGCAAACTCAGTTTGGACTAAAGGAAGTATCTTAACTGCCCTCACTCCCCATGCATGTGTGGGCATTATTGCAAGCTGAGACTTTGGAGAGTTCTGGCTTGTCAACCTTTAAAAAAAAATACCCCCAAACCCAAAACTTTTCTCCACAGCAGGGCAATGAGAGACTCATGCAGCCACAAGGACTGTCAGCCTCTCCTTCCTGTCTCTCTAATGAACTGAGGGGCTAACAAGCAAGCAAGTCTGCAGAGCTCAGCTCAAGAACAATGACTGCAAACACACATTTTCAGATTTTCCCCTGGGGTAACAACAAAAATCCCAAACCAAACTAACTGAAGCCACTGCATGTTAAAATGTGGAATGCATTTGCATCTTCCCTCTTTTATGTCCCCTGCTTGTGCAGTCTGGAGTTAAACTCCAAAGTGTTTGGTGGGAGGAGGAACAGCCTTCACAGCTGAGCAGAGGAGGCAGCTGGCAGCAAACAGAACAGCCCACCTCCCCACAAAAGCACCAGGAAAACGAACACCAGCAGAACAGGGTGTGCAGACAGGGCCAGCCCGTGGGCTGGCATTGCTCCCCAGCCACGTCCAAGCATGGCAGATGACCTTTGCCAGAGCCTGCAAAGCTGGTGGGAAAGGAAATCCACCTGCAGCCAGGGGCTGGGGGGCAGGAGGAATTTCAGAGCTGTGTCTGATTCTCAGCACGGCCACAGCATTTGAGTGTCAGATGTCAGAGGTTTGTCTTCGTCTTTTATTTTTAAATAAGAAGCTGGAGACTCCCTCAAGCCCAGAGACAACCAGCCCTGCCTGGGCCCTCAGTAACCCCGGGAGTGGATCCATCCTGTAGCTGCTCTCCTGCTGCTCTGCCTCCTCCTCCCGGGACCTGACAGGGTTTGCAATAAGCAGTTCCCAAGCCCGGCCCCTTCGTGCTGTCCAGCCCCAATGGGACACCTCAGTACAGAAAAGACAAGGAGCTACTGGATGGGGTCCAGCAGGGGCCACAAATACGATTAAGGGACTTGAGCATCTTTTTATGAGGAGAGGCTGGGGGAGCTGGGCCTGTTTAGTTGGGAGAAGGGAAGGCTGAGAGGGGATCTCACTAATCATCCTCATGCAAGGGGATGGTGCCAGACTTTTTTCCATGGTGCCCAGCAACAGGACGAGGAGCAATGGCCATAAAGTAAAACACAAGGAGTTTCACGCCAACGTGAGGAAGAACTTCTTTCTAGAGAGCACTGGAACAGTGCCCAGGGAGGGCGTGGAGTCTCCCTCTCCAGTGACATTCCAAACCCACCTGGGCCCGTTCCGGTGTCACCTGCTCCAGGTGACCCTGCCTGGGGATCTCCAGAGGTCCCTGCCAACTCTAACTACCCTGTGATTCCGTGATTTCCATCCCGGACAGCCCAACCGCTCACGCTGCCGCCGGGCACGGGGAGGAACCGACCGGCCCGGGGGGACTGAGCCGGGCAGCGCCCCTGCCCCGCACCAAGGGGGCTGCGGGAGCTGGGACCGACCCTCCCACTCTGTTCACACCGCGGGACATCCGCCCTACGGCCCTGACCGGGACTCACCCGCGCCTGTGCCCCGGCTGGGGCGCGGGGCCAGCCCCAACAGCGGCACTGCCCGGAGCCACCGCCTGCCCCGGGAAAGGCCCCGCACGGACCCGGCTGCCACCTCCCGCCCCGGCTGCCACCCAAGCCGCCCCTCCCGTGCCGCCCTTACCGCAGCCCTGGCCACCAAGGCGAGCATGGCCCCGCGCCCCGGGCCCCCGGCCCGCAGCAAGGACACCGCGGCTGCCCCCGGCACCGCCGCCCCGCTCCGCCACCGCGGGGCGGGGCCGCCCCAACGCCATCTTGGAGCGGGGCGAAGCCCGCGCCGCCATCTTGGAGAAGGGCAGGGTGATGCTGCGAGAGGGGGGAGCGCCGCGGACGGTGTCGCGGCCCCTCTCTAAGCTGCTTTCTCCCCGCGCTGCTGAGGAGGATCCTCTTGCTCGCCCCTCCGCGCCCCCGCTCGCCTCCGCTCCCCCGCTGTGTGGGCAGGGAGGGCCGTGCCCCGCACAAACATGGCGGCGCGGGCACGACGGTGGCCGGGAGGGGCCGCGCCGCGAGTTGACAGTGCCCGGAGCGGCGGGGCCGGGCGGTGTGCCCTGCTCAAAGATGGCCGCCGGAGGCTTCGGCTTGTGCGGAGGTGGGAGGTGAGGGGCGGCCGGGCCGGGCTGCGGGAAGATGGCAGAGAGCGAGCGGCGGGCAGGTGAGGGGCGGCCGGGGGGCTGCGGGGCCGGCCGGGATGGAGGCTGCGCTCGGGGCCCCCGAGGGGACTGTCCTCGGGGCCGGGGTGCGCCGGCCGCGGGATATCGCGCCCCGGGGGCGCCGGGCCCGGGCTGCGGGGGGGCGGCGGCGGCGGCGCCTGGCCCGGGGCGAGGGGAGCCGGGGACGTTTGCTGAGGGTGGGGAAGGGACGGAGCCCCAGGGCGAGGCGGGTGGTCGGGACTGAACCCCTGGAGCCGCCGGATCGGGGGTCCCTGTCACCCCCAGCCCAGTTTTCTGACCGATTCCCGCGCGGAACGGGGGGCGTTTGCTGTGGGATGCCCGAGTTTAACTCCCCCTCCCCGCACCACCGCACACCCCTGGAAGGGTCTCCTCGGTCCAAGCTGCTTCTCGTCATCAAGCTGACCCGCTGTGCTCCATCGCACCAGTAGGTTTGGATTCTCATGTATTCATCCCAGAACAGTGTAACCCCTGCAGCCCTGCCGTGAGTGTTCCTGGTCTCCTTCCCAAGAGGCACTAAACAAAGTGTGGGTCAGAAGGAGCGATGGCTGAGAAACAAATACAAAGAGAGAAAGTTCTGTGAAGGGCAAACACCCAGATCCCCAATCCAGGACACTGCCCTGGCTGCCCCTCTGGAATTTATATGTCACCTGTGCTCACGGACACATCAGCGTTTGCCTTTTTATGCCACTGCTCGGGAGTTTTTAATTGTTTTCATGTTATAAACACTTTTAAAAGCAGAGCTCCATCCTGATGCCGCTGTGAGTTGTGTGCAGAGTTTTCAGAAGAGAGACACGCACGTGCCTTTCATTAAAATTCATCACATGTTGTTCCTCTCATCCTTGTACCTGGAAGTTTTACTGTAACTTCTGCAGGAATGAGCCAAACGCTGTGACACCCCAGGGCAGGAGATGAGGCTGAATTTGTTCTGTGCATGGGGAAGGTGAAAGGCAGAGAAGTCAGATGACTGTCAAAGGTTGTATGACAAATCTATAGCAGGCTCTGCGTGGTTCCTGGGACTTTGGATTCCTTTTAATCTGATGTACCTGCCAGGCAGCACTGTGGAAGAAGGCTGCTGATGCTTCTGGGTGGTGCTTTCTGTGTGAATACAGTTGATAATACTTTAAGGAGTTAGAACTGGTGATATTTGTTAGGGAGCCAGTGCCTGAAGTGGCCGAGATGTGGAGACCAGTGGCTGAGTGTGGGCAGCTGGTGTTGGACAAGTGCCTGCAGAAAATCTGGGATTAAAAAGGTGGACAGAGTGGCTCTGACAGAATTCATAAATTGACATTAGCACCCAGATTCCTTGACAGACCTCTCTGCGCAGCCTCTTGCTATTGATGGTTGCACTTACCAGGAGCAAAATACAAATTACCTTTAACCTCCTGGAGCTTTTTTGGCTCTGCAGGGTCATCCTGGGTTCAGGTGCTGGGGAAAAGAGCCCCTCTAATGTGTTAACAGCTCGCATTTGTGTTAAATATTAAATCCTGGGCTCTGAGAGAGCTTTGAATTAAATGATCTTCACAGCTTCCACCTGGAAGAGGTTGTGTCCCAGCATCCCCCAAGCTCTTGGGCTACATCTGTTGAACTCCTCCAGATTGTCTGTGCAGGAATTGTCCTTTTTAGAGGAATGCAGGTCAGACTTAACACCTAAAAACAAGGCTCAGTTTGTAGGAGAGCTCAGTGCTCCCACATGACCCGAGGCTTGGCTGCACTAGACAGAAATAACTGAACTGGCTGGATGTTGCCTTTGTTACCTCCTGCACCAGTCTCTCTGTCTGAGTGGGAAATGCATCTTTAGTGATGAAAACAGACATAATGCTACTTTCTGAAGGCTTGCCCAGCCTTAGGAGTGTGTTATCCATGGATTGGGAGGATATTGGTGAGGAGGACTTGGTGAGATAGCACAATTGGGATGGATTTGTTTGCTTTGTATCTCCTGAGAAATAAACGTTGATTTCAAATAAAAGAAGATACAGGATTTCTTCTTCTCCACTGCCGCTGTTTTAACTCTTTTTTGCATCTCCCAGGCGCCTCTGAGGAGGTGGCTCCTCCCGTCCAGCAATGCTTCATGATCCCCAAAAAGGAGATAAACGTGGTTTCCGACATGGCCAAGTGGAAGCGCTCTCAGGTATGGCTCTGGGAACAGGGAAAACTGGGAAGTGCTGCTGGGCTTTCAGTGGCAGCCAGGTCTGGTCTGGGAACAGCCAGGAGGTAAAGCAGGGTTGGGCAGGGAATGGGAAATTAATGGGTTTATACCTGTTTGTAGGAAAATTACTTGGCAGCAAGGTGTGGAGGAGGGAGCCAGGGAGAGCCCAGAGGCTGAGGGAGACCAGAGATGCTTAGAAATGATTCCTGCTCTCTCCCAACAAGCTGGACAGGAACCTGGTGACTATTTAATCCCACCTGGCCTGTACTTTATACCCAAACTGGATTTACCCAGTGCTGTTTGAGCCCGCCTTGAACATGGTCCTGCTGCCTGGGTTGGTCCTGGGGCCTTCCCACCATGCTGTACTGGAAAAGGCTCTGGAGCCAAGGCCTTCAATTTTCAGGATAATTTTTGTTTACAGCATGTGTGGAGCTGGTGGAACAGCAGGTTCTCCCCTCTCTGCCTTTGAGGGATCAGGGTGTTGGCCCAGACTTGTCCCACCAAATTCTTGCTCAATGACTGATCTGAGATGTCTGGAAAGAAGCTGAAGTTGCATCCAGGTGTCAAGCAAACCTCTGGGTGCAGCTTCCAGTTTAAGTCTCCTGGGTTTAAGGACTTGCTCTTGGTCAGGATTTTGGTGCAAGGAGGGGGAGATGGCAGTGGCTGCTCTGGAGCTGTGGAGCTGCGCTGGAGATGATGCTTCAAAAGCAGCAAATGTAAAGAGAGGAGCAGCGAGGAGCCTGGGCTGTGTCCCAGTTCCCTATCGTGTGTGAGCACGGGAGAAGAGTCCAAGGAGGAATGGGGAGATAACAGTGCAGGTCTGGGAGGAGCAGGGTGCCTGGGCACAGCTGAGACTCTGCAGAGCTCAGGAGGTTGAATTTGACCCGATAGGAGCTGAGGGAATGATTTTGGGGTCAATGTGAGCATTTTTAGGATGCTCCTCTCTGTAATTTTCAGAGTGCTGTCACCATCTGCCTTCTGCCGCCGGGGCTGCCAAAAAGAGCAGCGGCCTCACAGCAAGCCCTGCACCCCCGGGTGTCTCCAAGGAAGCAGTGTTGTGTGCTGGGAAGGGTTTTCTTGGGGTTTAGAATGCTCCTATGCTGTGTTTTGTGTTCAGACAGCCCGTGGGCACTCACTGATGCCCTGCACTCTCGGTGTGTTCGCAGGCGTATGCAGACTACATGGGCTTCATCCTCACCCTGAACGAAGGTGTCAGGGGCAAGAAGCTGACCTGTGAATACAAAGTGTCAGAGGTAGGAGAAGAGTTTGGATCCCCTTGTTTCTCCTTTCCTGCCTTTTTTCCTTTTTTTTTCCTTTTTTTTTTTTTCCTAATTGGCTCTACAGTGAATATTTCCTAGGTGAGGAATGAATTGGCAGCTTATCTGGTAGCCAGGGAGAATAAATGTGGTTGGGTTATGCTTGGGGATGTAAATGCCAGGCTGCCATCCCCACTCCAGGAGGCAGAGGCTCCCAGTGTGTGCTCACTGGATGGGAAATTGAGCAAGTTACAAGTGGATAGAAGCTGATGGGGAAAAGGAGGGTGCAGAAAGGACACGTTTTGTCCTGTTTTCACAGTCTGGCTTCAATCAGCGATGCTTCAAAAATGCGATATTTTTTCCTAATTGCAGGCAAAAGGCTGAGATGTCTCTACCCTTCCTGTTCTCCCACAGGCTTTTCTGTAGGACCTTGGGCAAGTCACTTCTCTCCTTGTCCCTGGGCTTCCTCGTTACTCAGACTGTGACAACAGCACCAGTGTCCTCATCCCAGGCTGTAGCTGAGCTGTGCAAGCTTTGCTCTGACAGTTGTGACCTCAAGGCACATCACTGGCTGCACCTGCCTTGCCAAGGGTTGTGCTGAGGGGGCTGTGGAGCTCACAGGGAGCTGGGCTGAGCTGAGAGGTTTAACCTGAGGGGCAGGATTGCCCCTTCCAAGGTGCTAAGCAGAAAGGACCTGTTTTTCCCCTTGTATGAATGTGGCTGTCACCTGGCCCTGCCTGTTGCCATGGCCAGTTTTGATGTCTGTTCACCTTTTTGGGGGCACAGTGAGATCATTCGGAGCCAGAGGGAAAGGACAGGCACCCTCCCTGGTGTCACTGCTGCCCTGGGGGCTCTCTGGGTGCTGCCAATCCACAGAGCACGTGTTGGATGTTGGATCCCCCCTCCCTTGTTCTGCATTGCAACGAGGAGATTTTTGGGTACATTTTTGCTGATCAGGGCGGTGCAAGAAAGCTGAGAATGATGTAAAGAGATCATGGGCAGCAGACTGGGCCCTGTGTGTTTATGGTTTCATTCTGGTGTGGGAAGGCAGCTGATGATGGTCTTTAACCCAGTTGTTCATGTCTGAGTCCAGCCTTCCCTCCTAGGAGCCAGCCTGTGAATGAGAAACTCCCTTGTAGTTCATGGAGGGGAATGGGGATAATGAGCCCCTTCCTAACAGGCTTTGTGCCCACCTTTTGTTCCTTCAATTCAGTAGAAACTGCTGTCAAATGCTGCTCTTGCTTTCTGCTGTTTGCATTTCACCTTTGAGTTTTGTCTTTGTCACTATCTCGCTTGTTCCCAACCATTCACAGAGCAGTTCTAGGGAAACAAAGCATTAAAAATGAGCAAAACAAAGAGTGGGGGGAAAAAACCCAACCCTCTTCCTACAAGCCTTTGAGCTGTCAGGAAAAGCTGTACCAGGGCTGTGTCTGCAGCAGAGCCCTCTTGGAGGGAATGTTTTCCATCCATGGTCCCAGTCCAAGTGACAAACAAGAGACATGATCCCGACTGCTTGGGAGGAGGCAGGGAGCAAATCTCATGCCCCACATACCGAGGAGAGCAGGAGCCCATGACTTGAGGCCCAGGTGGAGCATCCCCAGGGTTGCCTTGTTGATGAGGTTGCTTGTTCACACGGGCTGCTTTGTAGATCAAACTGCTTATCTGTGCTTTTAAAGGCTCAGCCCCTCGTGGCCTCTGCTTGCATCTCTGCTCAGCTTTCTTCTCTTTTGCTGTACCTGCTGCTGATGTGCTTTTGTGCCATCCCATATTCCTCCCTGATCAAATGCCAGGGACACCTTCCTTTGGCAAATGACCTCCTGGAATCCTTTCTGCAGAACGCGTATCCTCGCTCTGACTTACTGGTATTGCTTTGCCATGGAATAAAGAAAGGAAAATATGTTCTGCTCAGCTTTTAAAGAGAAGCTTAATGGTTTCCAGAGAGCATGTGTCGATACCAGCCTTTCTGCTGGAGCAGGAGCTGGATCCTGGGGGGGCTGAGCCCCCTTGGAGACTTGCTGAGCTTGCTGTGCTCCCACTGAAACATTCCGTGGAGCTGTCTGGGGTTTGCTGGAGGCATCTGACAGGCACTGATAGCCGAGCTGTTGTTTAGGACTCTGGTGTAGACGCTGTGTCTGGCACAAGGTTGTGTGAGTGATAGGCTGTGACCTGCCTTCCCCTCCTGGAGGGAGTGCTTTCCATGCAGGGATCCTTCCGGGGCTGCAGCCTGGAGCAGTGACTTGGATCAGAGGAGAAGTGCAGCGAGGAGGAGGAGGTTAATTTTGGCTGTGTGAGGAGCAGACCTTCCCTTCCAACAGCCCAGTGCACTGGGGGAAACTGGCTGCAAACTGGCCGGCCTTGTGGCTTGCTCTGCTTCCAGGAGGGAAGTGGGGGAAGCAGCTCCCCCCTCTGACAGGGCCTGAGGAGCCCAGAGGGGCAGACTTGGCCCCCACGGGCAGCTTTGGCTGCCGTGATGCCTCCTCAGCACCTCTGTTTGCCTGGCTCCTGCTCTTGAGAGCTGCTGACAGGTCTGTGCTCTGAAGGAAGCTCTGTGGTTTGCCTTTGGGACCGGTGGCAGACTCAGGGTCAAGGAGATGCAAAATCAGCACAATGAGAAGAGCAAGGAGAGCAGGGGGGAGGCTGCCCTTGCTTTGATCACTGGAAAGGTAAAGCAAAAATAGAGCTTAAAAGCCCAGCCAGGCAAAACAGGGCTGCAGTGGTGCTGATGGTTGTGTTCCCACAGGCTCCTTTCCTCCCCCACTGGGGTCAGCCCTGGATGTACAGGTTTCCTCTGCTGGACAATGGGAAGCTGCTTCTTTTAGTAACCCCCTTTTCAAAGGGCCTTGAGCCCAAAATGAGCTGCATCTCTTTAATTATTTATTGGTGTGGCTGATCTGGCAGCTGGGTCCTGCTCTCCCGTGTTCAGTGGGGCTGGGCTTTTAATCCCTTTAAAGCCAGCGAGTGGGGAAGGGGAGGTTGGAGTCTGCTCCCCAGGGAAGGAGCTGGTCCGTGCCAGCCATTTATCCAGGCAGCACCGAGTGCTCGTGGAGAGGGTTTGAAATACGGTGGCTGCTCGTAATGAGCTGCTGGTGCCGGCGGATAAATCACCAGCATGATTTAATTATTTAATGCAGCCCAGTGCTGGGGATGCTGTTGCTTAATTGGAGGGGAATGAGAGAGCCAGGAAGGAGTAGGGCTGAGGCCAAACCTGGCCCGGTGCAGCGGGGATGTGCTGGGTTCCTGCAGCATTTTGGGAGCAGGGAGCTGGAGCAGAGGGGGCTGTGCTGCTTCAGTCCGCACGTATCTGGGGCACTGGCCTGTTAGTGGCTCCAAGGCCACCCAGAGCTTTTGGCTCTCTCGTCCCTTGGCTTTTTTGTGTTCCTGGTGTGCTCAGGTCTTGTCCCAGCCTCTAGTCTGGCTCAGCAGCCAAGTGCCGAGGTCCTGTGAGGTAGGTGGATCCCTTTCCTGCCTGATCCCGCTTCCCGCTGGCTGATCCCACCATGTCCTTGGGGTGGCACCTCGGGAGTCAGTGTCTGTGGGAGGCTGTGTGTGCCATGAGACCCTTCCTCCCGGGAGCGATCCTCAGCTGGCTCAGCGGCAGCACCGCTCTGCCGTGCCCATCTCTGCCCACCCCCTTCCAGTGGCACTTCAAGGGCTGGAAACTTGCTGGGCTCTGCTGTTTCCTCGTGCTCCCGGCGGCAGCAGCGTGAGGAATTGAACCACAGCCCAGGAGACCAGCCGGCTTCACATGGTCGATGCCTCCAGCAAAGTCAAACCAGCCGCCGCTGCCGCCTGTCCTCTTTGTCCCCTTGAAGGAGGAATCCCCTCTCGAGACAGAGGAGCCTACATTGCCCGGGGCCTGGCCAGCTGCTGTGGCGGCTGACGGCTCTCCAGCTGCTTGGAGTCAGGCAAGGAGAATCCCAGAGCCTCTGGCAGGCTTGACCAGTTGTCAGCAGAGCCTCCTGAAAGTGTCTGGAGCTGCTAAAAATGCTGCCTGTGGCGTTGGCTCTTGGTGTGTGGGGTGTAGCCATTCCCCACGCAGGGAGAGGGTGTGCATTGGCCAGCCTTGGTCTGACAGCACAGGTGCTGTGTCACCTGCTTCACCTCTCTTTTCCTTCATGGCCACTCTCATACATCCTGCACAGGCTCCTCACTTACAGAACTAAGTGTAAGAATCCTGACTGTTGTCTTGCTGTTGCTGTTGTCTTCCCATCAGCTTTGTGTTTGTATTGAGACATTTCTCTGGGAGCCAAGAGCTTCTTCTCCTGCCTGCTCTGATGGGAGCACGGGTGGGCAAACCAGGCTGCCTCTTCCCCTGGATAGGCTGTGTTTTGCCACATCCCTGGGCTGAGGGGTCCCTGCCGTGGTGGCCTGGCTGGTAGGAGTTTGGAGCAACAGGAGTCATGCTGGGAAGGTTGACTTGATGTACAAGCGTGTGGTGGTTTAACAGCATTGCTGCTAATCCTGGCTCCTAAGAGACACTTCAGGACAATGATAAGAGCCTTGAGAAGGGCCTTTAAATCACATCATCAGCTGTTGGTGAGGATACACGATGCTGTATCCTGTGGAGAACACAGGGCCCTCAAGATGCAGAGCCTGAGTTTTGTGTTGGAGGCCCCTGAACTGTGTAGCACTTCCCTCCTTCTCAGCCCTGTGTGCCCCACAGCCAGGAGCTTGCTGTAGGTCTTCTCCAAGAGGTTTTGGAGCACAGTGCTGTTACGGCTCATGAAAGACTGTGGGGGCGACTGGAGAGTCTGCCTCAGGCTGGTCTTTGTACTGGACTGATCTCCTGAGGGAAGGATGGTTTTCCCAGCCCCCTGCATTTTGAGGAGGGTTGACACATCCCATTTCCACTTGCCAGCCCTGGAAAGAATGGTGTGGGCTTTAATGACTCCAATGCAGGGAAATGATGTCGGAGCTGAGGGACTGCTCTGGTTTATGCCACTGTGACCCCTCATCCTCTTGCTCTCTGTAGCCCATTGAAAAGCTGGTGGCTCTGCTGAACACCCTTGACAGATGGATTGATGAAACCCCGCCAGTGGATCAGCCTTCTCGCTTTGGGAACAAAGCCTTCAGGACCTGGTACGCCAAACTAGACCAGGTGAGTGTGTGTTTCCTGTGTGGTGGTACCTGCAGCTCCCACAGAAGGGCAATATTGTCCAGCAGGGATGGCAGAATGGCTCCATCACTGTGTGGCAGCCAAGAAGCCTGTGGAGGAATTGCCCAGATAAGCTGTTAAGGATCCACCTCTTGATATGCATCACTTACCCCTGGCCTGGTGCTTGTCTTTTCCTCTTGTGAGAGCATATGGGCCATGTAAATGCTCTTGGCTGGGTCTCCAAGTTCTGGATGAGCCTGGAGGGCTCTCCAAGCCCAAGGAATTCCTTTTCTTTTTAACTGCCCACTGTGTCACAAAATCAGAGAAGTGTTGGGGAAACTGCTCAGCTTCCTCCAGCTCAGAGCACTTGCTCTACACTGGGTGCTGGAGGTGGCACAGTCCCAGTCCCAGCAGCAGAGCCCTTGCAGCTGCTCTAGTGATGCTTTTGTCCTGGAGATGGCTCACTGGGTAACTGGGTCAGTGGACTTGGATGCTGAAGCTTTTTTGTCTTGCAGGATGCATGTGGCCTGGGTAGGTGTCAGGCCAAGTTTTCCCTGACTTTTTCCATCTCTGGAGATGACTTCTTCAACAGGAGGGTTTGCTGCTCTGTCATGCTGGCTTTGGGCACTGCAGGAGAGCACCACTGCAGCTCCCCCACTGCAGCAGGGTCTGAGCACAGGGTGACTTGTCCCTGGGGACTGTGGCAAATCTACACTAACTCAGGGAAGTCTTGTGTCTTTCAGGAAGCAGAAAAGTTGGTGGCAACAGTGATTCCCAAGCATTTGGCTGATGCTGCCCCAGAAGTGGCTGTGTACCTGAAGGAATCCGTGGGGAACTCCACCCGCATTGACTATGGCACAGGTACCTGGGCTTGCACACTGGCCAAGGCTGGGCTAGTTGGGAAGGGACCCTTTGGAGCCTGATGCTGCATTAATTTAAATGTTATTACCACTTTTTTTAGTTCCAACTTGAAACAAACACCTTCCTTCTGGGCCCCCTCACCCCTCTGTCCTGCGTGGGCTGTGACTGAGAGCTGGGGCTGGGAGCTGTGCTAGAGCTGTGACACCCTTTCACATCTCATTGGAGGAAATAGGAACCAAGCTGTTCTGGGAATAGCTGTAGAAACTGCTTCACTGCATGCAGGTGTCCTGCAGTAGGCAGTTTTAAAGGAATAAAATATAATGGCTTGAATTGGAACTAGAGTGAGAACCGAGTTCATGTTCAGTGGGAGGAGTCCTGAGCTCTGGTGCTCCTTAGAAGTGACATTGCTGCTTACAGAGGGACTTTGAAATCTGAAGGTAGAAACATTTTTGCACATAAGGAGGTGGTGAATTGCAGGTTGAAGTAACCAAGACATAAGTACAGAATTGTCTACACGCTCTGCTCCTCTCTCTGGAGGACAGCTGTGCCCTCACCAAAAGGCAGGAGAGTTGGATGCTGTGGGTGCAAGGAAACTTGGGCAGGGAGAGGAAGAGGAGGCCGTGGGTAAAAGGCTGAAGAGCTGGAGGTTGTGCAGTGCTGGCTGCGGCTCACTGGCACCAGGGGGAGATGTTGTCCTTGGAAAGGGACTTGCTGGATGGGGTTTGGTCAGCTCAGAAGGAAATTCAGCCTCTTCTCCCCTCCTGTGTGTCCCAAGCCAGAGGCCCGTGTCCTTGCTCATAGTGACCAGACTGTAGGTGCATTTTGTTCCTACACTGGGAGCTGCACCTGCCCACAGTGTGGAGCTGCTGATCTTGTACTCTCTCTGCTTCCGTGATCCCTTCCACTTAAAGGCATTTCTGGATTTGCTGGCTGTTTCTTTTCCTTGATGGTTGTTTCTTTTCCTTACTGTTAGCTGAAGGACCAAGCTGCAGGGGCCCAGCCTGAGATCCCAGTACCTTCTGGGACAGACTGTTCCTGACAGTGTCATGGGATCTGCATCCTTCTGACACAGAGATATTTTTGAAGTGGGAGGAAATCTGTTTACTTGCAGATGTGAGGTTCTCTTGCATCCCCTGAGCAGATGACTCTGTGGTGCTCCACTTCCCCTGCTGTGCCAAGCTCCTGGGAAAGTCCCTGCCTTGCTCCCAGCATGCCCAGTGTTGGAGCTGGTTTTCCTTAAGAATCTTTTCTCAAAGTGAATAATCAACTCATGAATGTCTAGAAGGTATAATTTGGGTGGGTGCTGCATGAGGATGAAACATCGTCAGCTCATGGCATTCATAGTGACAACAGGGTTGAGAGGGGACTGTGACTGCTGTGATTTCTGAAGAGCTGTTGTGGTTCCCACAGAAAGGTTGTCCTGAGGGCCAGAGACACCAGTGTCATGTCTCTTCACGTCTTTTCACTCCAGGGCACGAAGCTGCATTTGCAGCCTTTCTCTGCTGCCTCTGCAAAATTGGTGTGCTCAGAGTGGACGACCAGATGGCCATTGTCTTCAAAGTGTTTAACAGGTGAGGTAATGGAAGGAAAAGGGCTGGAAGTATTGGGCTGTTTGGAGGAAAGGGCAGAGTGAGAAAGCTGAAGCCAATTTTAGACAAAATTATGAGCAGATGTACTTTTTAATGGACTGTACACTGACCCATTATAACTATCTCCAAAATAGATGATGGCCCCTTGTCTGTCAGAGGCTGAGTGTCCTTCTGGAAAGTTACTTTAGTTGAGCACAAGTTACTGAGCTCTCTGGGTGAAGCTCTGTGTTTTGTGATAGGCAGGAATATCTGATCAGAGGATGTAACATTTCTTCAGGCATCAAAAATAAAAAATCCATGCAACTAGCAGGCCTCCACTGCTCCTCTAGATGTGTTTCCAGCCCAGGAGGTAAAGTTGGTAGTGATGAAACTGGTGGATTGGGTGTTTGGAGTCCAGAGATCTAATCCCAGCCGTATCACTGTTTGGTGGCATGGAAACAATTTCCTTCAACAGCACTTTAATTTTCCACCTGAAAAGTGGAAGTAGCAATTGCTGTAACGTGGAAAACTTTCTGAGCTCTTTTGGAAGTTGTTGAAGGAGAGTGAACTGTCAATGTTTTCAGATAACAGTGGGGATGGGGAAAGATCTGCATCAACATAAGACACTGCAGGTGAAATAAACCCCTGCCACTGGATTTCTCTGTGAATTTGGTGTCAGGTACCATCAGGCTGCTTCCTATGGCAAAGGAACTGAATATATATTGTATGTACTGTGCTGTATGTGGAGGTCCTGCTTACAAAGGATAAAGTTGTGTCCTTTTCCAGACTGGTTGTTCTTCTTCTTATGTAAGTCAAAGGCAGAAGAAGGCCTTGTCTTAACCTTTCTTCTCTCTTTGGTCCCAGGTACCTGGAAGTGATGCGAAAACTTCAGAAGACCTACAGGATGGAACCTGCTGGCAGCCAGGGCGTGTGGGGCTTGGATGACTTCCAGTTCCTGCCTTTCATATGGGGCAGTTCCCAGCTGATAGGTACTAATACAGATCTTCTTCTTGTGTCCCAGCCTGCCCTCTGCCCCATCTGTCTAGGCTGCAGAGATGATGGGACTTGGGGCTGACTTCTAAATTCAAATCTGTCAAATTTGTGCATAATACAGCAGAAGAGTTTTGGGCTTGGATTTTTTTTCCCCCTCAGCTTTTCAAATAAAGCAGGTTGCTTAGGTTGGGAGATGGAAGTGTTCCTTGTACAGTACATTTGTCTTTATTGCAATGACTACAAGCTTTTTAAAAGGAGAGTCTTGAGTTTGGTGCTAGAAAATGCATTTTCTGCCCTGAGGAGTTTTCTCCCTGCAGAGGCACTGAAGTGGGAGACGAGATAGAAGGGAACAGCTCTGTGCTGACTTTTGAAGATCTCTGATGGGAAGATCGTGTTTCTGGAAGAGGGGCAGGACAGCACCTGATTGAACTTGGTCTCAGAAGGGGGTTGCCTTACAGGTTGCTTCCTGTTGTCTCTTTTTAGACCATCCAAGTCTGGAGCCTCGACACTTCGTTGATGAGAAGGTGGTAAACGAAAACCATAAGGACTTCATGTTCCTGGAGTGCATCCTCTTCATTACAGAGGTGAGGAGTGGAAGATTTGTCCCACAGGGACATTCTCTTGGCATCAGATACTTGGCTCTGGCTGTGGTTTTCTGTTCCTCCTTTGCTGCTTTGTTTGCTGTTGTGGAACTGTGCAGATGAACTGTTGTTGCATGTCTGAGGTGCTCTCCTTGAATGAGTTGAGACAGGGATGTTGAGAGGAAAGTGTAATTAAGCTGGATGGGCTGTGGATGGTAGTTGAAGGGAGCTGTAACAAGAGCAAACAAATAACCTTGGATCAGTCAGTGGGAACTTGGATGGAGAAGACTGGTTCCTGCAGATACTCTAGGAAGATGAAGTAGGAGCTGCAAATTGACTGGGCTTGCCAAGACAACCTCCCTTCCCTCCAGCCCTTAGGTGCTGCTTGGCAGCCCTGGGCCACCCCTTGCTTAGGGCATGCTCCCAAACTTCTGTGCTGCTCCTTCTCCTCCAGGTTCTACCAAAAGCCCATTAAATGCACCTTATTTGCAGCTGACCTAGAGCAGGGAGGGTGCTGAGACTCACCAAGCTGGCAGCACTCTCAGGACTGGGGATCCTCAGCTTGTTGCCAGCCATGGGCAGTGTCTCAGTGAGGGAGCTCAGGGCTTTCTGCCCTCAGCATCTGTGGAGGATCCAGCTGTGTTTCTCTCGGCTCCCTCACAGTCTGGAGAGGGAGAGCAAGAATTACCCGCTCTCTTGTGGTGAGGGATTTCTTGTCTCTGGCAAGAGGGAATTGATGGGATTAATTTTGAAGGACAGAGTGTGGTTCTTCCCCTTTGTTCTGTTCACTTTCCCCCCTCCTCGCCTCTCTAATTTAGTGATTAGATGAGAAGGGAGGTTACAGACTATGAACTTAGCCTTTCATGTAGGAAATCTTCATAGGAGCCTTTGGCCCAAACCCCAGGAGGTGTTGTGTCAAGTCCTGCTGAATCTGGTAGGGTTTGTTGGTACTCAGCACCTCACAGGGTTTAACCCTTAATGCCAAGATAAATCATGCCACGGGTAGTAAAGAGGTGCTGGTGGAAGAGATCAAGATGAGGACAGGAAAGCAGGAGCCAAGATGGTCCGAGATTTATTTTAGTTTGGGCCTCTGATATCCAGACAGTGCACTGACCTGTTAGAAACAGAAAAACACATCTTTTGACATGTGTGTAGAAAATTCTGCAGCGCCCAGATGACAGGTGAAGTTTAAAATACCCAGCACCATCCTGCTGCTTCAGGTCACGCTGCTTCTGCCTGCAGAGAGTCAGCTTTTTAGCAGGCTTTTAAAATAAGTGATTCGAGTTCCTTTTTCCGCACATTTGTCGGGAATCATGGAATTCAGTGTTTCTGCCGAGTTCCTCAGTGCCACCTGGTGGCAAGGAGCCCTCCTCTCGGGCCTCCTGCCGTGAGCCCTAAGGGACAGCAACAACCTGCATTACCAAATCCATGGTATGTTCAGTCCACCTCCATGCAGGCACTGGTTCCTTTTTATAAAGATTTTGCTTTTAAAATCTGGTTTTTTTCCCTCCCAAGTGCCCAGGAAAGCTGTAACTGCCACTAGAGGGGGTGAGGCAGCCTCAGCACCCTCCCAATGCTTTCTCTCCAAAATCAACAACAAAACATAATAGCAGGGAAAAAAGATAGAAGGGATTAAGGACTTTAATAAATGAATGATATTATTTTCTTCTGAGCTTGTCAGCTGGAAACAGCTCTCCTTTAAAGGTGTTAAGCACGTAGCAAACACCACAGCAGTTCCCGTAGTGGGTCTGGTATGTCTTGCTGACATGAGAGCAGGTTTTGTTTCAGCAGGCTACAACTGAGGTAGGTTGTTTTCTGTCAGCTGAGAGAATATTCTCTTGAGCAGATATTGTTCTCAGCCCCTGTTGTGGTGTTTGCCACGTGTGTATTTAAACCCCAGGCTCTTAAAGCAGCAGCGAGATGATGTCCAGGCTGATCCCACCACGGCATCCTCCCCACAGCTGCGCTCAGGCACGGCAGTGAGCCTTGCATGAGCTGGCCTGATGTTGGGAAATCTGTGGGGTGGGTTTGGACCTGAACACGTGGTTCTGGAACAGGGTGAGGTTTGCAGAGCTGACTGGGACTCAAGCTGTTCCCCTGCTGCTGCCTGTGCCTGTCAAAGTGTGCTGTGGGGTGTGTGTGGTACCTGCAGGTGTGAGGATGAGGCGTTTGGAGCATCTCTGCCCAGGGGCTGTGGAGGGCAGCGATGCAGGGCTGCCTGTGTGTGTGCAGATGAGGGGTGCTGGGTGCCCCCCAGCTGTTGTGGGCGTTCAGTGCACTCGCCCCAGATGCTCCTCCGAGAGCTCAGGGCAGGCAGCAGGAATTTCAGCTTCAATCTGGCTTCTAAATTTGGAGGTTTGGGAAGGGAGGGCTCGGGTTTCTGCTGGAAGGGAAGGAGCTGACAGGAAAGCACGGCCTCAGCCGTCCCCCTCCCCCCTGCACTGACAGAGGAACCATTTACAAAAGGCCGATTCTCTTGGGAACCGAGAGGCAGGAACGCCGCGTCTGTGAGTAATTTCCTGCTCAATATGGCTGCTCTGACTCACTCTGTTCCCCTGGGGTCACTGCGGGACTGCAGCGCTCTCGCTGCCTCTCGCTCTCCCCCCCAGCTCTCCCTCTTCGCCCTTTGTGGCTGGAAGGAGATGGATTTTTTTTGTTCCCCCTCTCAACCCTCTTATTTTTCCCTCCCCAGTGTGAAGCCTTAGTGAAGCCATCCCTCTCCAGGTGCCCTGGGTGAGGAGGGCCACAGTGGTGGCCGTGCCAGCCCTGCCCGCCTCCTCCACACTCTGTCACACTCACTCCAGCTTGGGAAGGGAGAGAAGCAAAGCCTGGTGGTGGTGGCTGGTGCAAACCGTGCCCCTCTGAAGGGTGGTGATGCCAGGAGAAGGTTTGGCATCAAAATTCATGCAGCCAAAGCTCCTGTGCGGGGAGGGGGTTCTTTGAGGAGCCGCCTGGCATGGAGCTCCCTGGCTTTGGGTGCCTGCTGGTGCCGAATCTCGGCGCTGGATAACGGTGAGGGCTGTGCTTTGTGTGCTTACACGTTTCATCCTGTACCCACGAGGAAAGCGTGTGGTGTAGGGGAGCAGGAATGGCCAAGCGGCTCATCCATCATCCCCCGGCTCCTGGGAACCACCGAGGGGAAGCGGAGATGCATCCGCGCCCTCCCGGCACTGGGCAGAGCTACAGACCCGCTTCCCCTGGTGCTCCCACCCCAAGGTCAGCGGGTGTGAAACATGTCACAAGAAGTGGGGGTTTTTTTGGGTCCCCCCACCCTTTCCCTCTCTTTCTTTCTCTGCCTCAGGCTGGTGCCACACAGGCATTGCAGAAATTTCCCAGAGCGGATTGATTGGCTCTGCTTGCTTTTACAGAGAGGTTGTTTTGGAGGCTCTTTTCCCACCCTCTCTCCAGGCCTGTGCGTGCGTGGAGGGAAGGGGTTAGTTGTTCAAACCCCAAGTCGTGAACGAGAGTCCAAGAGATTCCTCTCTCCCCACGCTCCTTTTTAGCGTGAGCTTCGGCCTTGTGGTTTCTGATGTCATGGGAACTTCGCTCAGTCAGAGTGGCTGTGTTGTATTTCTTTCTCTCCCCGAGGGTCTGTTTTTGTTCATGGAGAAGAAGGGGAGACAACTACCCAGGGAATCTACATGCAACTGTCCCTGATTGCAGCTTCCCTCCCTGCCCTCTCTTCTCCAAACTGCTCACCCTGGGAGGAGAAACACTGGAGTATGAAAAAAAATAAAAATAGAAATATGTAAAGCATTTGCTGCAAGGCAGCAGCTCACAGCTCTGGAGCTGGTTTGGAGAGCGGGACTGGAGTGTGTCCCCTCTGCTCCTGCCTCCCCCAGAGCCCTCCTTAGCTGGAGGCAGGTGTGGAGTGGGCTGTGGACACAGGGCTGCTGCCAACCTGCACTGCCCTCTGTATTCAGGGAAGGCAGCGCGGTTGTCGCTGCTGCTTGTTGTTGATCTGAATGGGGAATGAGTCATTTTCTTGGAAAGCCCAGCAGAGCTGCACTGGGAGGTTTCTGGGTAGAATAGGAACAGCGTTGAGCCAAGCTCTACTGGAGGGGAGAACGGGACTTACGTGGGGCTTTTTTAATGCAGTCATTAAAAGGGAGGTGTGCAGGGGGACCTCTGATTAGGAAAGCGTGGCAGGAAAAGGCTTAATTTTATCAGGGAAGGAGGGGAACTGGATTGCCACGGCTTCATGTGATGTGGCCGCAGCGGGAGGGAGCGCGGAGGGAGGGAGGGAGGGAGGGAAGTGGCAGTGAGGTGGCTGGTGCGTGGGTCACAGGGCTTGGTGGGAATGTTTGCTTGGAGAGAGTGTGAGTGTGAGTCACTGCTGGTGCACGAGCTTCCTGGCTGGCCCGGCTCCCTCAGCCCTGCGCTCGGGTCTCTTTCAGATGAAGACGGGCCCCTTTGCCGAGCACTCCAACCAGCTCTGGAACATCAGCGCCGTGCCCTCCTGGTCCAAGGTCAACCAGGGCCTCATCCGCATGTACAAGGCAGAGGTGAGCACTGAGCAGGGGGAGGCTGCTGGGCCTCCTCCCCTCCACAGCACTGTGGGTCAGCTCTTGTGCTGCTCCTTGGTGTAGGGACCCTGTCACAGCCATTGGCTGCCCCTTGCTCACTGTGGCTTGGGAGCCCTTGGACAGTTCAGGTGCTGCTGGCTAGAAGGAAGCTCCTGCCTACCTAGTGTTTGCCCCAAAACCAATCCCAAAATGCCCATTCCTTGCAGACATGACTTTTGCCATTTCTTGTCTTCCCATAGTGCAGGTTTCAGGCCTACAAATTAGGGCTGATGTCTTGACCTCCTTATGCGTCTGGTCCTCCCGCTATTTTACTAGCTGGAAGAGACTTAGTTTAAATTATCATCCCATGTTTTAAGGGCCCCAGAGCAGGCTGAATGCTTGCTACTGATCTGCCCTTGCTACGTGTCCTGTCCATGGCCACAGCCACCTCCCTGGTTTGGCAGCCCTCTGCCCACCAGCACTGCTGGTGCTGCCCCAGACTTTCCTGGTGAACCCCTGACCTGGGGAACCAGACAGTTTTGGCTCTCCCTTATCTCTCCTTCCTGCTCGAGCTAACCCTGAGCTCGAGGAAGCAGGACAGGAACTGCCACATCTGGGCCTCCGGAGGGATCATCTCTTGCTGGGCAGGATGGGACAGTGCTGGCTCTGCAGGACACACTGGCTGTGCCAAGGGCACTGAAGGAGCAGAGATGGTGCAACTCCCTGGTGCACCCAGTGGTGCCTGAAGGAGTTAATCCCACGCCCTGTGGTCTGTGCTGGTGCCAGATCTCTGCTCCTGTTGCTGGGACACGGGGCTGAGGCTCAGGGACAGCTCTGCTCAGGCCCAGCGCACAAAGGGGTTAAACTGTGCCGAACTGCCGCTCCCTCCCCCAGCCCTTCCTCTGCACTGCACATCCTGTGTTTAGGTTCCAGGCCACATACCTCTCTAATCTGTGAGGTGTCACTCCCAGGCCCACTGGCTCCTTCCGCCCCCAGCTCAGCTTTCCTCCCAGCCTCCAAAGAGGAGAAGCGGGGCTGGGGGTCGACTCCCTTGGCTGGCTGCTCCTTGGAGGGGTGCCCCGGGCTGCTCCTCAGAGGGGGAGGTGCCCCTGGGCTGCCCCTCTGAGGCTGCCCCTGTTCACAGCTCCCTCACAAGGGCTGGAGACGCTGCCTGCTGGGAAACCCTGAGCTGGAGACTCTGTTGTGAGAGCTGGGGGGTCTGAAGGGAAGACCCTGTGAGTGCTGTTAAAGTGAAACATGAGTCCCCTAAATCCTAGAGCATCAGTGTGGTCTGCTCCTGCCTCGGCAGCCCTGCCATGATCCTTCCTTTCCTTTGGATCAATTCCTTCGCACAGCTCTCTGGGTACTCCCCTGGCATCCCACATGCCCCCCAGGATGTCCAGGTGCTCCTGCCTGGTGCCCCACATGCCCTGTGCCATGTGGTGGCTGCCACCTGTACATGACTGGAGGAACTTGGCAGTGGTGTGCCCATGGTGCAATGTTCATGTCTACTGATGTCTTGGGGCCACTCTGTGCTGGCAGATCTACCTGTGCCCTGGCTGGGGACAGCACAGCCTGGGGATCCTCTGAAGACTGGGAGATAGTTTGGCTCTTCTAAGTGCACCCAAGGCGTGGCCTTTTCTGGAGGCCTCGATCTGTTTTGAGTAGCAGGTGACATTCTGCATGAAAATGCTGGATCCAGTAGTGGTGGGTTTCTAGAAATATCTCGAGATGTAGCTGTGTCAAGGAGAGAATGCAAAAACTTCCAGGATGGATAATGACACAAATTTAGGCTAAGGTGTAAAAAACATTGAGTCAACCAAAAAGCTTTAAATTTATTTTTTTCCTCAAGGAATATTTGACCAGTCCTAAGAACACGTGATTCTTGTGCAGCAGTGTCTTCTGGCTCTGCGTGGTGCCTGTGTTCACCTGGATGGGCAGAGGAGATGGGGGACTCCTGCTGTGAGGGGTCCTCACTTGTTCTTTATATATAGATAGAATATATCTTTATATATAATCTGCTCTGGGGAGTCTCCCACCCCACTGCTGGCTCAGCCAGTTCCTGCCTGGCTTAGCTGAGAGGAGTGTGGATGTGGACATGGCAGTGTGGCTGGGCAGGGCTTTCAGTTATGGTGTGCCTGGCCATGCAGGTTACACCAACATTTACAGCTGGAAGGTGTCTTTGGCTGATTTTCTGGGAATCACACACACAGGGTTCAGGAGTCACTGAACCCTTCATCCTTTGGGTGTTTCAGGCCAGGCACTCAGTCACTACTGGAGGTCTGGTCTGTTTGCTGCTGGCTCCCAGTGCATTTCTGCTCACTGTGCCCTGCTCTGTAGCCTTCACCAGTGCAGTCTTTCTCCAATTAACCACTGCCAGCATTAGCAGAAGGGAAGTCAGCAATAGCCCCCAAGTGCTGACATGAATATTTGTCCAGCTCAAGGCAGGCAGCTTCCGTAGCAGAGCCTGGAGTGTGTGATGGCAAAGAGAAGGAAAGTTTGGGGTTGCGGTGTTGCTTTGTCTGACTGGCAAAGATGTCCTTTTGTTTATTTTCCCCTCCCTTCTCCCTGCCCCTCTGATGCCCCGTTGTAATGAGATCAGGTGAAATCAGACACTCAGGTGGAGGCTCCAGCTCTGTAACACATCTGGGCTGGCTGGGAAGCGCCGGGTGCTGACCGTGACAGGGTTTGAGTGGAGGCACAGCACAGCCAAGGGGTCACTGGCTGGAAGCAGAGCAGGAGAAATCAAATGCTCATGCACAACCTCCTCTCACTTGGTGGGAGTGGGGCAGCCCCAGACTTGGTTCATTTAAAAAGCTTTGTCTCTCCTTTGTCTCCTCTCTGGGATGACTTTAACCAGCAGACAGAAAGCTCAGGTGTGTCCATGTTGGCTGGGAGCTCTGATCTGGATCCAGGCACTCCAGGGTGCATGGGCAGTAGACTGAAGACAACATGTCTTCAGCTCTCTGTGTTTATGAAATCCCAAATGTGTCTATTTATAATATAATGGGTGAAGATGTGTTCTCTTGGAAGTCCAAGGGCTTTTCTTATTCTCTCCATCAAAGGCGAGTGAAGAAGTCGACAGAATAGAGTGTGGTTAAAGCAGCAGCCTTGATGTTTTTCCCCTGAGCCTGCTTTTGAGTCTCCTGACCTTTCCTTCTCTGCAGTCAGTCAGGAAATACTTTCCATTGTAACTAGTCCCAGTTCCATCTTTAAAGGTTGGACTTGGTGTGTGAATCTACTCTCCAGTTGAGTCCCAAGCAGACCTTCAGCATGATCAAGATGATGGCAAGAAGAAATAAGCTTGTCCCCTCCACTGAGCTAGTGTTGGGTACATCAGTTTCACCCACATGTGATGCAAGGAGGGTCCTGTCTCTTGGTACCTCTAATAATCCAGTAAATTTGTGTTCGTTCTGCTGGATACAGAAGGAAAAGTTTCTTTGTTCCTCTCTTCTTGGGCTGGCAATGTGTTAAGTGGAATGGATACCCCTTCTTCCCACTGGTAGTCAAGTCTCTTCATCTGGAGCCCAAACCAGTCTGGTCTTCCATGGGACTCCTTGGATCTAATTGGGCTGACATTTCTAGCTGTCAGCATCTCCAGTGTTCATTTCTCTCTGCTCTTCCCTCACGTCACTGTTATCCAGTGCTGCTTCCTCTGAGGATTTGTCTAAGTGGTTGTGTGGAGAGATGGCAGCATCTCTGAGCATTAGGAAGCTTTGAAGGTGACGTGCCCTGATGGTCATAGGACTTATTTCTCCTTGGTGCCTTGCCATGGAGGTTTGCTGCCTGGTTATTATCCCCAGGAGTGGATACAGCCGTGCTGTACCTTCACTACTTCCAAACTTGTTTTGGATCCAGTGTGCTTGTGCTTGGAACCAATTGTCTGACCTCTGGCTCCGAAGGGATTACTGTAGGCCTGGGTTTCTGAGCACAAATCCTCCTGCTTACCCATGATGACAGCTCGAGGGCAGGGTGCCTGTGCCTGAGTCCTGCCTTGGGGGAAGAGCTGTCTGCAGCACACTCTTCCTCGCCAGCCCCAAAGCTGGGGTCTCCCCTGCTGCAGCGAGTCCAGCTTGTCCCCATGGAGAGCACAAGGCTCCTTCCTATGGAAAGGAGAGTTGTAACTACACCATGGCTCTTGTCTCCCTTTGGTAGGAAGGAATTGTCCTTCAAAAAAGTGCCTGGAGGAAAGAGTTGTGCATTTTGTCCCAAAGATCTGCCTGTGAGGCTGCTGACTGTAGGCAGGGGCCAGTGTGGCCATGACACCCTCCTACTTGTGGGGAGCTGGGCAGCATCCTGCCCACTCTGGCTCTCTGTGCCAAGGAATTGCTGGGACTAGATGGATTCCTTTTAGCTGGTATCTGCTGGGCTTTGGTTGTATGTACTCCACATCTCCTGTGGAATGAGAGTCCCATCAGCAGATCTGTGCCTCAACTGGGTGCAGGGAAAAGCCTCTCTTCCCAGACACTGGGAGTTTGGGATTCTCTTCTGTTCATATCATGCTGTCTAGGGAGGGAAGAACTTGCCCCTCTGCCTGTAGCGAAGAGGTGGCCACCACCTCACCAGCCCTGGTAATGAGTCCCCATTGCAGTGTAGGGGGGTGTCTGTGGCCCCTGTTCAGCACAACAAAGGTGGGTGATGCCAGTGCAGGCGCAGCTGCAGGGCTGGTGAACATGCACTGCCGAGCTCTGTGTGATGGAGGTGAGTCTGCCCTGTGCCCTCGCTGAGCTTTGGGCACTCTGAGTCTGCAGCGACTCAAAACCCAGAGCTCTGAGTGGCTCTGGCAGGCAAGCACTGGCAAACTCACAGTCCTGACCTTCCTGCCATTGGGATGGGGAGTGGAAGAGCCTGTGCCCTCACAGCCTGGCTTGCCCTGCACAGAGGAGAAAGCAGCTCTGAGCTAAGCTGCCTTGTAGTGGATGTATATAACTGATCTCTGATCCATTACTCTTCAGTGGTGGGTGGGAATTTCAGGAGTGAGGGGTTGTTGAGAATAGGATTATATCTTAAACTATGGCAGCAACATCACTGGTTCTTGTCCATCAAAGACCTGAGAGTCTGGAATGTGGTTTGGGCAGTGCCTTGCGGCTGCAGGATGGTACCTCAAACCTGGAGTGTGAGCACTGGCCTGGGGAGGGAAAGTCTTCCCTGGGGGGTTCTGCAGTTCTCCGTGTTTGTAGGGTGAAGCTCTTCAAAGAGATCAGCTCGAGCAAGGAGAGTGGTGAGAGAGAAAGCTGCTGACATAGACATGCTGCTTCTGCTCATGCTCCAGGCCTGAATGTCAGTAAGCAAAAGGCTCTGGCTGAAGGGAAGGGGATGGGGTTATGAAGTGTTACTGGCCTGAGGAGCCTGATAGGAATGTGGGGGGAGGCATGGAACTAATCCCTCTGCCTTCGGCTGAGCTGCCCTGAGCTCGCTGCCTCCTGACCCTGCGGGCAGGATGTAGCTCTGGCTGCCTGTGTAAGGTGGAAATGTCTCCTGAATTCACCTCTCTTTATCTCCCCTCCTGCAGTGCCTGGAGAAGTTTCCTGTGATCCAGCACTTTAAGTTCGGCAGCCTGCTCCCCATCCAGCCTGTGACATCCTAAGGAAGCCGCGGGAGGAGCCGGAGCAGCGGAGGCACAGTGCGGCGCTCTTCCTCCTCCCCTCACCCCCTCCTCATCGCCCTGCCCATCCATTCCTGCACATCCTCATCGGCAACCACAGATCCAAAGCACTCGCTGGCCTTGCACGGGAGACGGGACCTGGAGCAGCTCCCCCTGCACGTCCTCACCACGGAGATGTCTCGCCCGCGGCCAGGCCAGGGCTGTGTTGATCCACAACTGCCATGCGCAGCTCCGGGCATGGGAATGGGTTTGGGTAGGGGCTGCTTTGCAGCAAAGGCCCTCTGCTTCCCTTCCCAGGAGGAAGGGGTGTGGAAGGGAGGAAGGCACGTGTGGGTGTGTTGGGCAGTGGTAACTGCGATTTCCCTTTTGAATTTCATTGGAGTTTCCTGTTGCTGTTTGCTTTGGGAAACCACCACGCAGGGTGAGGTGTGAGCCTGTGCGTGTCTGTAGGCAGCCAGCTCTCCCTGCTCAGGAGGTCTGGAATGGGTAAAGGGAGTTGTAGGGAATGTCTGTGGGTTATTGGAAGCCCAGGGTGCCATCTCTCCCTTTTCTGGGTAAGGAAAGCCCCCTCCCTCTGTCTCTTCTGCAAGATTTCCTTTCTTTCCCACTAGCGCCTCTTCTCTTGGGCGAAGCTGGGAACCTTCTGAGCTGTGGCTCTGGAGCTGGAGACAAGGTCCCTGGAGGGACCTGGCTCTGTGGGAACAGCTATGCAAAGACACTGCTCAGGCTCCCTCTTAACGGGTACAAACCCTGACACATTCACACACATCCATGGCTGGGTCCAACCTGCCCTCTGCACTCCCCGGGCTTTGCTGCCCCAGGGCTGGGCTGGCCTCAGTGGCACAAGGTGACCGTGGTTGCTCCTGCTTGGTCATAAATTGTAGTGACAATCCCATAGCAAAGGGATTTCCCCATGGAGCAGCATGATCCCAGCTCTTCAAGGGAGACATCCCCGGAGCACAGGCAGCATGAGAGGGTAGCATGTGGCTTTACATGCATTTATATCCCTGTGCTGGAAACAAAAAGCATAAATAGCCCAGGGCAGCAGGTTATACCTGGAGAAAGCTCTTTCCCTTTGTCATTCCCAGCTGGTGTTGCTGGGCTGGACCTCAGGCAGAGGGACCAGACTTCCAGTGCCACTTCCAGTTCCAGCAGCATCTTGAAGGCAGGTGGTCTGGATCACACCAGCAGCATCACGGGAGAGCAGAAATGGCTGGTGCTGTGTTTGAGATGAGCTGTTGTATCCACAGGTCTTGACCAAGGTGGTCCATAGCTTTGCAGCTGGAGAGGAGATGCTGCTTCTTGGGGTTTCTGGGCTGGGTGTGGGGCGACAGGGCTCTGGTCTGGTGTTTGCTGAGGATCAGGAGCAGCAGGGATCCTTCCTCTGGCACTCCTGCAGATCATGGAGGGGGCAGTGGGGCTGCTCAGTGCCAGGCTGCTCAGCTTTTGCTGCTGCACTGCTTTACTGCTGGGGAGGGGGAGAGAAACCTGCTTGTGATTTTTTTTTTATTATTATTTTATTTTTATTTTTTCATGATTTTTACCAGAACCTACTCACTCCCTCTTGTAAAGGTTCTCACAGGCGCTCAGGGGAAGGAGAGCAAGAAAAGAGTCTAAATTAGGAGGCAGTGAAGTGTCCACAGAGCTGAAGTAGAGCTTTCTGGCACTGCTGCTGTCCTGACTGCTCCTGGCTTGGCCCTGGGCAGGGGGTGGGGGACAAAGGGCTTTTGACCTGCCTGAAACAACTTATAAACTTGTATTTTAAATGAAAATGGAAGACTGGGGTTAAGTCTATTTTACTCCTGAATGAGATGTGTTTTGTCTTGGCTTTTCAAATGGATCCACTCCTGGAATGACGGTGGAGACCCCTGTGCTTGCTGGGGCTTGATGAGTCCATCTCCAGCAGAGCAGCCTGTGCCTGGCATGGAGACCCTCAGTGTCTCCACCCATGTCCCCTCACATTGCTGTGTGGCTTTTGGCAAGAGTCCCCATGCTTTAAATGGCTGTGTGGCTGTGCAGCATCTGGCCAGCAATGGCTGAACAAAAGCCTCTGGTTTCCCAAGTCTGCCCAAGGGCCGGGAATGCATCTCTCCTGGTCATCTCACGGAAATGGGGCTTCCATGCAAAAGGATGGGTGGAAATGTTGACATCCGTGCATGGGAGGGACACCCAGAATGTGGAATACAGCACCAAAGAATGGTGGAGAGATGCTTCCTTCTCCTGCAGCTGCAGCCACTGCTCCCTGGGGATGCTGTCCCTGGGCTTGGGACCTGCGGAGGAGGTGGGAGGAGGCTCATGCAGAGCTGTGTTTGTTGCTTGCCTGAGTCTGCACATTAGTCCTGCTGGGTATTTTGGGACTTCAAGCAGCTCTTATTTGAGTCTTATCAGCCCACTTGGGATGTGCCCCTGCCACGTGGCAGCCACCTGCTTGCCTCCCTCTGACTCCCACAGCGTCCGTCACGGCTTCTCGGGGCTCCGCTCCTCTCCTGGCACATCCACACATGTGGCACCACCCAGGGCTGCTCCGTGTCCAAAGCAGCACTTCCCACCTCCTCCCGCACTGTAGTTTGAATTAAAGTCTCTGTGTTTTGCACCAGTGACTGTGTTGGTCTCTCTCAGACTGGGGTTTGCTCCCACTTTGGGAGCAGAGCCAGTGAAGCCGAAGGCCGGAGCCCTCGGCACAAGGAAGAGGCACTTGCTGTGTTGGTGGTTGATCTTTTGCTTGCACCAAAATGGACTCGTTATTTAACTGCATGATCAAGCGCATCCAGTCTTTGTGTCCTTCCTGGGTGTCTCTCTGTTGTGTTGTATGTTTTTATTTATTAACTTCTTTGCTGTGCCCACCCCCCTCCTGGCTGGGATTTGGCAGGTAGGTGATGTGTGAAGCCTGATCCCAGGCCAGCAAATACTTCTTGAAGATCAGAGACTCTCATGACCAAAGGACGTTTGAGCCTTGTTTCTGAGGCAGGGTGAGAACTGGAACCTTTTTCTTCAGATGTTTTTCGTGTCCTGCTGTAGGAGCTGACTCAGGACTTCCAGCATCGGTTTAGTTCAGCAGCTTTGTTGGATTTATATTATACCTGGATTAAATTAAACCTGGACCTTCTCATGAGTGGTTGGAGGTAGCGTAGCTGTGCTGAGCAAACGCTTGTTTCCTTGTCTCTGGGTTACATTGTCTCCATCAACACGGGCCAACTGTGTGAGCGCGTGTTGCTAAAAGCGGCAGCAGCGTGGAGGGATGGATGGTGAGCAGAAATGTCATCTTGGATCACAAATGTTTTCTTTGAAGGCACTTGAATTCGTCTTGAGCGTGTCCCTTAGTGAACATGACGTGCAGTGAAGGGGAAGCAGACGTAGTGTGGGTTTCTGGCCACCTTCCCCCTCAGCCCACTGGCCAAGCCAGTTTTTTTAAATTCAGTTTTCAGAGCTGGGGTTGCCACACGTAGGGCAGTTTGTGTTTCTGTTTAACAAGTGTTGCCTTTGCACAGGGCAGGTTTGCAAATCCCCCGTCTCGTTCTTCACAACCCTCCTTTATGAGTGATCGCTCATGGCAGCCACTTATAAATGAAGTAAGAGTTGAGAGAAGGAGCCTCATGCAGGGTTGGGAGTAACAGAATAAAAACTGCTTGATGCCATTGTTGCTGCATTAACTTGTCCCCTCATGCAGTGCTGGGATCCTGCTGGTGAATAAACGCAGCGCCCACTGCAGGACCAGCGAAGTCTGAGCTGGCACTTGCCAGCATGAAGGTGCACTTTGTACCCCAAGGACCTGGAGCTGAACCACGCAAGAGCCCTGGAGTCTTCACCCTATCCCTGCAACTGCATTGACTTCCTTCCTGAGAGAGGGAAGGAGGCAGAAATGGGTGGGAGAAGGTGGAATGGGTGGTTAGCAACCATTGCTAATGTAACCTGGACTCTCCCCCTGCCAACCTGCCAGTGGGAACCTTGTAGAGTTGAGGAACTCCCAGGGATCTTGTCGCTGCTCCACCAAGGACTCTCCTGGCTCAGCTGGAGAATTTACAGGGCTTTTGGAGGTCGTTTCATGCTCTAATAGCCAAGAGGAGAGATCTTCATCCTTTAGCGTTGTTTACCCTTCAGTGGATGAGCACTCTTCCCATTGACATTGGAGAAACTCTTTGAACGTCCTGGGGACAGACAGGTCTTGTAAAATTGTGCCAAACTTCAAACTAGGATGAGCCAAATTGAAAAAGGGCCTTCACATTGGATTCAACGAGGGCAGAACCGTGACGGGCATCCTCAGCTTGGAGATGCACTTGTTCTGGAGAGCACAGGGCTGTGAGCAGGTTTTAGAGGTTAGAAAAGGCCTTCCAGGGGGTGGAGTGGGTGCTTCTGCTTGCTATAAAAAGCCTGGGCTTGGGAATGTCTCCATCGGCCGGCTCAACGCAGGGCGTAAATACAGTTGTCGCTAAAATTGGAACGAGTCACTCCCCATGTTCCCGGTTGCAACTGTAACATGGATAATAAATAACATCAAAATCCCACATCAGAATTCGGGCTCCTTAATGCTCAGTGTGTGCACACCCATGGAAACAAAAAATCCCAGGATTGGGGTCCTGCAGGAGAGGTGCTGCGAGGCCCCGACCCAGCGGGCACCAAGGTGTGTGTGTGAGTCCTGAGCACATCCTGCTTCCTTTTATAAAGTAGATTAAGGATGTGCTCCAGGATTTGCTGACCCTGTAAATGGAGGAAGTAGAGAAAGCAGAGGAGCAGTTCTTTTTGGGTTCTTCTATTTTTAAGACACCTGGGAGAGAGAAACCCAAGCAGCCTGCACTGCCCAGGTCGAGGTACCGAAATTATCCATTTGGACATGAATTCCTCCCAGTTTTATGTGTGGAAACAGGTGGGGTTTTTTGAGATGGTGATGCCTGTGATGCTGGAGCCCAGCCTGGTGAGTAGTTGTGGGGCTGTGACCACTTGAGGTGTGCAGAGCTGATGACATTAACCACCACCACACTTCTTTAGCCATCATGTAGACATGATGCTTTGGGTTTCAAGTGCTGATGCTGCTAAAGGAAAACTGTTTTACTGTTGCTAAAAGAGCAAAGCATAGCAATATTCCTGAGTCTATGCATCCTATAATGGGTCCAAACTATAGAAAATTGACTGCTGTGGTGTTTAGAGAGAAATTCCAGCTAGATTGTAAGATAACAGAGCATATTCTTTTCCTGGATACTTGCTGATCACCTGAAGTGACTGCTCTGCAAAGGATCTTACTCTTCCATGTTTGGAGCATATACCTTTAAAAATATTAGTTTAGGTATTACATATCCCCTTTGAAAAAATTCCCTTGTAGGCAAGAATAAAACTTACAAAAAGGCTGTTACAGAGATCATCAGCTCTCTATTAGATAGCTTGGAATATGCTCCACTAGCACCAGAGTTTAGTCTTCTCCAAATTACTGTAGAGGATTTGACTGTATCTTGCTGATCCATCCACATTTTAATTTCCTCTGCACGGATACATATTGCAGGATGCTGGAAATCCCCAAGCCCACTGGAGCTGCAAGACTGGATGTTTCATCCTGTAACACCAATAAAATGTTAATGCATACTAATAGCAACAGCAAAGGGGTTTATGGAGCGAGCTTGGAAGTATTTTATAATTGCCAGGGTATCTGTGTCACAGAGAATTTGGGGTTAGAGTCATCAAGTGTTGCACTTTGTCAACACAGGAAAAGAAAAACCCTCAAATATACCTCAAACCTACTAATTTTTATAATTAAAGGGGGGAAGATGGGAGAGGAGCCCCTGGGGAGAGAGTCAAACACAAATTGCATATATGTAAGAGATCTGCCCACCGGTTGGGATGGATTTGGGAGAGTGGGTTCAGTTCCTGCTCTTCACAGAACCCCCACTGTGACCTTACCTGAGGACACTGCCTCCCTTTCCCACCTGGACACCAAGAATAAAAGCACCGTCCTGCTGTCTAAACCCAGTAAATCTGGGCATGAGGTGACATAAATTCATCAGTAACATGAAATCCAGGGAGCTGGGGCAGGGTTTGACTTCTCTGCACATTGCACTGCCCGGCTGCAGCACCTCACCCCTCCCAGCAGCTCCTTGTGTGCCCTCTCAGCCCAGCCTGGGGGTGTGGTCCTGTTTACTGCAACCTGAGGTACCAAAACCAAGGCAAATTTGAAACTGGGGGCAGAGGGACCAGGCTTCCTTCATCTTTGCAGCGTTTCCATGTTCTCTGGTTCTGTGGGAGCTGCCAGCCTGTGGTTGCACCCCTCATCCTGCCTGTCCCAAACGTGCATCTGGGATGTTCCAGTCTCTGCTCATTGGTGTTGGGAGGACTGTGGGACAAAGAAAGGAGCAGTGAGGCTGCAGAGATCACACCCTGTCCGGAGCACCATGTGGGAATTGCTGATCTGCCCCAGCTGGCACTTGGCTCCTCTGTTTCTCACACTGGACCAGAGCACGTGGCCTCTGTGGTCCAGGGGCAGAAGGGGAAGAGCCTGAATGACCCCAGAGCTGCTTGTTTGAAGAGATGTGCTCCAAACCCTGGGGGTTTTCCAGAGTCAACAGATCCCGAGCCAAGGTATAAGCCAGAGGCGTTGCCTGACCCGGCAGCACTGGAGGGCCAGACTGAAGGAGCTCTGCATGTAAATGCTCCTGAAACAACATGAGGCTGAGTTAATCCAGGGGTAACTCCAGAAGGACAAACTGAGGGCTCAATCCTCTCCTTATCTCACGTCACCAAGCTGGAGGACGGAGCCCAGGGCACCCCACAGAGCCTGGCATGTCCATGTCCTGGCTTCTGGGGCTTTTTAGCTGTGTCCTTGCCTTCTGGTTCATATGGGAGGGGAAGAGCCGGGATGTTTGTGGTACTGTGGGGACCACAAGCGTGGCCTTTGCTGAGGTGGAGGTGAGTGATGGAGCAAAGCAGCCACAGAGCCTGTGTGTGGGGGTTGTCCTCTGGCCCTGAGGGTCCTCCAGTCACCCCGAGGTCTGCTTTGTCCCTGCACAGGGTCATCCTACATCCCTGCCTGAGTCCTGCTGGAAGCTGTCTGCAGAACTTTCCCTGGTGCTGGTGAGGGTGAAGCCTGTCCCTTGGCACAAATTTTGGGCTGGTGTTTGCTCTCTATCACCAAAGCAGACGGAATTGTGAGTTTCTGAAATGCCCTTCCCCGAGCTGTGCATCCGACCAGCCCTGGCTCCCTGCTGAGGGGGAGTTCATTGAAGTATCCCTGAATCCTGAGCACTCTGTCACCCTGTTTGCAAATGGTGGAGCAGGAACTGGTTCCAGTTTGAGGTGTGCAGCCCAAAATGCTGCTGAGCCTATGCTCTAACACTGGCAGTGCCAGACAGGGGCTGTGGTGGCAGCCACAGGAGGAGGAGGAGGATGAGTGGGCATGGCATGGGCACAGCAAGTCGTGGTGGTTGGTGTTTTGTTCATCCTCACCAGGGAGCAAAGGAGAAACAAAAGCTGGAGCAACACAGGGCACCAGGCTGGCTGGGCGAGGAGGAGACAGAAATAATTGTGCAGAATTTCATCATGGAGCTTGAAAAAGGGTGATTTTGTGAGCAAATAGTCAACCTCCCAGAGCAGAACTTCCCCGTCTCCAATTTCAAAATTCCATTCACATCAACATCCACTTTCATGTTGTAGAACCTGGGGAAAAAGGAAGGGGAAAAAAAGCAGCTTCACACATTTCAATGCAAGAGTCTGATTCTGGTGAGGAAAAGAAGGTGAGAAGCACTGCTTTGGGAGTTGTTGATTAAAAATCAAGCCCCCCAAAAATGAAAGTGGTGAAATTATCAGGGGCTCGAGGTATGTGGGGCTGCCCTGAAGTCCAAGGCTGCTCCTGCCCATTGAGGCTGAGCCCTGTGGTACCATAAAGTGGCTGCTGGAGTTTTCCACATTTGAAAGGTGGGAGAAGGGCATGGTGCAGACGCTGTGTTCTGGTACATATGAATCCTCACGAGTTTGGGACAACAGGAGTGGGGGGAAAATGCATGGATCTGGCCAAATGGGGGACCTGCCAGGGAGGAAGGGGCAGCTTCAGTCCCATAAAAGGGAGGAGAGCTGCAAGGAGCAGGGATAGTCCAGAGAAGCATCCCAGGCAGCATGTGGGGATCTCATCACTCCAGGGAAAGCCATCACTCTGGCAGCACCACAGGTGGGGTTATTGATCTGCCTCATTCACTTCAGGTGTGGGGCAGGTGCCTCTGCTCAGCTGGACCAGTCATGGGGCCAGGATTGAGGATAAGAGCAGGTTCTGTTGGGGTTTCTCTTTTCTGTGCTCCTTTTCTTCCTCTATAGGACCTGGAGCCAGTTGGTGCCTTCTCTGAGGAAAGGAGCTGAGGCAGCCCTCCCTGCCCTCTGGGTTGGCTGGCTCCATCATTCCATGCTGACCTCCATGTGCTGTTTGGCATTGGCCAAGATCTTGGATGAAGGTCTTTCCTGCCTGGCATAGGAATCCCAGAGAATGGCTCAGCTGGAAATGCCTTTTTCCCTGAGGAGCAGCTGGAAAAGCCTTCAGCCTCTGAGAATCCTGGTCAGCAGTGCTGCAAACCTGCTCCAGGTCCCTCTGTGGGTGACCAGGATCATCACTGGCAGTGCAGCCTCCTCACCCAGGACCAGCAGTGACCCCAGAGCAGCCAGTGCCCAGGAGAGCAGGTGAGCCCACTGCTGGATTATGGATTTGGCTTGGCTGAGCTGTGTTAGTCCCAGTGTGAAGTGGTTAGCAGCTGCTTTCCCCATTTCCCAACTTGTGGGGGAGCAGGTCCTTCTCTGGAGACCTTTTGTTGGCTTTATGTGGTGGAAAGGTGGCTAAGGGGGGTCTGTGTACCCTGATTTGCTGCAGGGCTCTGCCCAGCTTGTGTCTCTGTGGTGCCAGTAAACCCCCAAATCATCCAGTGTCAGCATCTTCCAAATCCTGGGGGAGGTTTTTGCTTCTCCTACTGTAGAACTGAGATCCTGGTGCCTCCATGGTGGTGATGGTGGTGTGTTGCTGAGATGGCTGCTTTGTGCTCAGTGGCTGCTGCTTGTGAGCAAAGTGCTTTTTACTCTAATTTTTCCATTGTGCTGTTTTGCTGTTCCATGTGAGGGACAGCAGCTTCTGCCACACAACTGCTTCCTCTTAACTTTCCCGATGTGTGCTGGTAAATCCAGGGTAGGCTTAACTCAAGGACTAACATTAATCATCAAATCTATAAGCAGG